AAAAGATATGATTTAAAAGCATCTGCAGCATAAAACAAAGGAACAGAAGTAAGATAAAAAAATATATGAAAATGACAGAACAATTAGTTATATACCAAATTAGATAGATATATTGGAAGATTATTTTCAATTATCTTCAACTGATCTGCTGTTATGAATCTCTCAAGGAAGGTCCTGAATGAGCAAAGTTCCTCCCCCCCCCCACTTAATATTGAGCTTAGGAAGAACTAAAACAACAGAGTTTTTAGAGCGTAAAGATCTTGAAGGAATGTAATTATTTATCAAAGTAATATTGTGCTGTGGAGCAGAGCCATGGACACAATGAAATAAAGCAAAATTTTGAAACAATGCATTTATGCATTCATGGGTAACCAATGCAGTGCTTTTGAGAACTGGTGTGATGTGACTGTGTTTTGTTGGAGAGACATACATGTACTATACCAGCAGCATTACAAAGATTGTTTAATCATTTGTTATAATTGAAGGTTCCAAACATTTCACATGGTTGTTTTAGACATAAATTTGTGACCTGTATGAACACTGTACAAGTAGCTATCAGGGTAAGATGTTAAAGTATTTCTTTTCATTTTCCAATTTTTTCCTTTTCTATTTTAATTTGTGACAGTATAATTTCTACTGACATCTTTAAAATGTCTTAGAAAAATGGCATGATCATAGAGAGAATGTGATATACATGTAAGACTGTAAAGTGTACATTTGTATGACTGCTGGAAAGGTGTAACAATGCAGGTATTTAGCAGGCTTGAGATGAGGAGAGGGTTTAATACTTCTAAGGTATTTTTTTAGTTCCACGGTGTCTTGAATACTTTAAATAGATGAAGTCAAATGCATCCTGCTACAAACACATTATTGTGCTCTAATCATACTCTAACTGTATGTTAAGTGTATAAACACCTGCAGGAATTAGATGGCTTACTATGTTTGAGCTTCGTGATATCGATGTCACAAAGCTAAAACGCAATGGCAGGCTACATAGATGGAACTATATAATGGAACTCATTCACACAGTAGTCTGTGTGATAAGTTAGCGAAATAAAGTGGGCTCTAATAATACTCTGACTGTACATTATGTGTAACATAAACACCTGCAGGAATTAAAGGGCTTACTATGTTTTAGCTTCATGATATCGATGTCACGAAGCTAAAACGCAATGGCAGGCCACATGGATGAAACTGTATAATGGAACTCATTCACGCACTAGTCTGTGTGATAAGCTAGCGAAATACATACATGTAAGTGGGCTCTAATAAAACTCTGACTGTACGTTATGTGTAACATGAACACCTGCAGGAGTTAGAGGGCTTTACTATGTTTAATGTATTCAGGATATCGATGTCATGAAGCTAAAACGCAACTGCAGGCAATGGCATTGACAGAACATTGGAACACATTCACGCAGCAATCTGTGTGATAAGCCAGAGATATACATCCATACACGTGGCTGGCTGTGCATATAATTTAGCTTGGGGCCATAGGGAGAGTATGCTTTCCTATCTGGAGGATCATATGTTCATTTTTGTTCACATGGCGATGCAATCCACAATACGGGTGTGTGATGATGTGCCAGTGTGCTGCATAGTAGCATACTGATAAGGAATACATTTCATTCAGATCACTAAATGCTTCTGACATACAGAACATGGAAAAAGAACATATTGCTACTGACATACATTAGATAAGAACGCATTGTGGACAAAATGTTGTACGTAACTGGATAGATTTTATAAATCGTCTGTTCAGAGTCAGATAGGTGTTAACTCTGTGTTTAAAGTACAAGAGTTAACGGCCTTCTGGCTCCAAACACGCAACATGTCCTCCAATGTTGGGAGATGCATATTGAATTGATATCAAGCAGCAAACTGAAGAAACCCAGCATATAAAAAGGAAATTGAAAATCATCGATTTTATGGAGAAAGTTTGTCTGTTTGAACAGAAGGACATTAACTGATATCACTTAAAACAGAGTTAACATCCTTCTGGCTCAAAACAGACAATATCACAGTGCTGGGTGAACATTACCTACTTCCTAAATTAAAGCCAGAGAGGTTTTGAGGGGTTATACTTTAATACAGCATGTGAGGAAAAACGTATTTTTTAAAGTAACTGAGTTTTCTACTTTAACTAAACCTAAGGTCTTAACTATTGCATAGCTTGACATTCTACTGAATACATTGGAGATGTTATTTGCACACTCCTAGAAGAGCACTCAATCTACTCCCACGGTATCTTTTATTAGGACTGCTGCACATACATGTACTATGTGTACATTTAAAGTAATGACAATGATTGCATTTGAATTGGTTGTCACCTGCCTCAATAAACACAGTGGAATTAATGGATGTTTCATGGTCTACTTAAATTATATCAGACAAGGTTTTTTCTCTGAAATGGAACAACATGTTCAAGTACCTTCACATTCAGAATATGCGCGAGCAGCTTGATTTTGATGCCTCTTCTTTAATATGGATAATAACCTAGCCATTAGTGGAATTAATTGATATAAATGTCAGGTATTTCAAATTTTAATTAGTTCGTTATCCTATGAGACATGTCACAAATTTCTTGGAAGTAGTTTTGAATAACAATCAATATTTGAAGTCGATATTTCATCTCACGAACGCCTTTATTATGCGAATTAATTTCTTTTTCTTTTTGTGTGTGTATGCTCTTGCTCTCATGATTTCTATCTTCTTATTGTACCCTTTATTACCAGGTTATATGTCAAAAAACATTTTCCTTCCCTATTTACATGTACATCTGATGACATTTGGTCTTTTGACGTTTGCTTCTGGCCTTTTTAAATATCCTCAGAAATTGAGAATCAAATAGAATATGATTGATGATAGGATACATCATGCTGAGGTTGATGCACTTCATCCTTCCTCCAGGTTATCCCTTTTCACCATTAATCTTTAGATTGTGATCTTGGGTATGGCAGGTAAGATCATAAACCCACATTTTTTTCCTATATTATGAAAGAAGAAGGAAAAAACATGGGAGCTTTCTTTTTCTTTCTTTTTACCCAGAGTAGCAAAATAGATTACACTTCTGTATATTAAAATGACACATACATACTGCATGTGTATAATTAGCATGATAAAGCGCTTCATCAAATATAAACTGCATTCTTTAAAAGGTATGGTAAACTATGCAATCTGGCCAAGTGTGTGAAATGTTCTCACTCACACTGGTCATCAGGGAGATGTAATGTTTTTTTAGACCAATTTTTAATTTTTTTTTAATGCACCCCTTACGTTCCACTGCATATCATTCTTAGCTATACAACCTTATATGAAATACTGCCTCCCTTCTCTCTCTCTCTCTCTCTCTCTCTCTATCTCTCTCTCTCTCTCAATCTCTCTCTCTCTCTCTTTCTCTCTCTCCCTCCCTCCCTCCCTCCCTCCCTCCCTCCCTCCCTCCCTCCCTCTCTCCCTCCCTCTCTCCCTCCCTCCCTCTCTCCCTCTCCATCTCCCTCTTCCTCTCCCTCTCTCTCTCCCTCCCCCTCTCTCTCTCTCACTTTGGATATTCACTGGCTAACCCCTCTTGAGGCTGGCATGAAAACACTGCGACCCCCTACAGCACTTTCAATCGGTAAACACTGTCTGCTGGCTAGCTTCGGCCATACGTTTGGGGGATGAGCATGAGGATGGATTGGTTCTATATTTAGCTTCAGGAGATTATGTTGACTTTGTGTGAATGGGTATCCTTGTTTAAAGTATGCCCGGTGCATATACATATAGCTGAGAATATGAACATATGATAATACATGGAGCATCATTTTCTCTCCTACAGCAAACATGTAGGTTAAATAAGAAATGTGTACACTACAGTGTCAATGTACATAGCAATCATTTTACACATTTTACCTGACATACTATTAGTAACATTAAGGACTAATTAATTAATACATCAGTAGACAACCTTGCATGTAAAAATATTCCATTTTCTTCACCAATATCCTATTCTCTACATTGTTGTCAAAATGAAGGTAATGTATGGTGTGTTCCCCAAAATATGTTTTCATGCAAAGAAAATAGTAGTGTGACTTAATGGCTATGTACTGCAACATCCTAGATGGAAAATCAAGTGTAATTGAATATTTGTTACACCCACATGTAGGTCAGCAGTGCAATCAATAGTATTATGTTCACAGAATATCATATTGATAAAAGTACATTTTTGGTGCTGCAATTTTGATATATTTCTTTATTTTTACTAGAATACTTTTCTATTATTCTAAAGCTGAATCTCTGCTCTCATGTATTATTTTACTGCAGGGCGCCTATTGGAATGTCATCACTGACCAAACAATGCATGAAATTGAAGCTGACATTCCAGTGCTATTCTTCCCTTCAATTATATTATTCTTGTATAAAAGCCGTGAGCTTATGACTTTAGCAATTTCGGGAGCATCAGTGCGAAATACTGGAATAAATGCTATGATGAAAAAAACATTTGGATCAGCAATTATTAGATAGTGAAAAAATGAAATGGCAATGTAAATTGTTTTTTAGAAGAAACACACATTAGTGTATGCAACATTCTGCATGTAAAAGATATTAGACAACAAAGTAATGACCTTTTTAAGCAGCATTGAACACCGGATGTATACCTTAAAAGTACAAATGTTGAATAACAAATTTATTATATTACAAAATAATATATTCCTTTCATCATCAACTTCATAATTTATAAAAAGTTAATAATATGATGCAAACATTTCCCAGAAATTGTAATTCTTAAAGTGGAGTGGCTCAATTGCAAAGTCCTGTATCTAAGAAACAACTAACAGCCTGCAGGATAACCCTTATCTAATTTCCCATGGCAATTTACATTTAAATTGCCTCAAAGGACTGTCTTTGAACAGTTGTTATGTTCATTATATACATGGGATATGATCTTGATTGATTATAGTATTGTGGTATTTTCATCCCAGGCTGAGTTGCTTGGTTGCACCCAGACATTTATGCATAGAAGCATGATCCCCGCATTACATATCAATACCAGTTTGTCTGCGGTAACAACCTGTGCTATGTATGTAAATGTATTAGATGGCTTGCAAAAATGCCTTTAGAATTGATTTCATTATTTCAAGTTCATGCATCAATGCAAAAGGATAATTTGAATAAGGAACATATCCAGTTGTTATAGATTAACTATTATTCTCTAGAACAAAACTATTCCAGCTTTCAATTTATGTTTACACATAGTGTATGAGAAAGATCATCACAGCTACGGTTCGAAAGGCACATACCCTAGTTACTTATAATAAGGAAGTGAGCAATTATATATATCTCATAAATGTTATTGGAATAACCTTCAGATATATATTTATACGTCATTATTTATAAAAGCTGTGTTTGCTTCAGTTTACATATTTTATCTATGTATACCTTTATCTCTGTATTATCTCTTTCCATACGCATTTCAGAGATGAGATATAACAGATAGGTGCATAATTTTTTTTAAATCTAAGAGCTATTGATTTAATAACAATACTAAGTAATCATTATCTGCCCATTGATACAGTGCAACTACTATACAAGTATACACGTAAATGTTTTCTACCACCCTTAATACACAGTATACAGAATATCTAAATTTGTTGCAACTATAATGTTTGTTACATTTAGACATCCAGTATATTACAACAATACTAATGCTTATTTGAATGTTCTTGTTTTTTCTTCTTCAGGATATACGGTTTCTATGATGAGTGCAAACGTCGATATAACATCAAGCTATGGAAGACCTTTACAGACTGCTTCAACTGCCTACCAATAGGTGAGCTCACTTCTCTCTTTAATAGTCAAATGATTCTAGAGAATATGATTATCAAAATATAGGCCTTAGATTGCTATGTTCTGTTTTGTTTTGTTTCTACAATTAATAAATGTGTAGAAATTTCCTCCAGAGCTATTTGTGAATCAGAAACACAATACCAAACACTAAAAATGTTGATTCCCCTGTGCATTGCCAATTAACACTAGTGTTCTTTGCATATATTGCTCCGATTGTCTCATTTTCGCTCGCTGGAACATTGCCAGCACAAACCACTGACCTCTACCTCCTGAACGGATCATCGCCCATTCCATTCACTATACGTTACGTACTAAAAGGCTGTATTGTCTGACCGTTCATGAATATTCATGTTTTTGCTAAACTCGGCAAAATGTTTGTTTTTACTAAATGGAAAAATTACGGTGGGGGGTTGGATGAAATGGACATAATGAAATAGGCAGAAGTGATCTATGACAATTCATGCTTTTTATGTTTCGTGTGCTCGACCTATAATCTTCAAATCGCTTGGTAAACTGAGTCCAAAGTTAGACTTGTTTCACATGTGTATTATAGGCAATGACGAGCTTGCAACCTATTTTGAAAAATTATGGTGGGTGAACTTTCAAAAGTCAATGAGACATGAGGGCTCCAATGAAAGAGCTAGTGATAACGTACGTCGGGGTGGATGTGCTTTTCGTTTAAACAAAAAATGAATTTTTAACGATTTAAAAAAAAAACGTCCATAGGCTAACATGTTAGGCTGCTGATTCTGATCATGCTCTGACGATAGGGGGCGTTGTGAAATGAGACTAAACGGAGCTATATGTATGTTTAGTCAAAACAAGATTTCTTGCACATAAATGTACATGTGAGACTCCAGCATTGCCCTAGAGTGAATTTCTTGAGAGGCATTGTATGCACTTGCTGAAGGAGATGATCTAAACAAAATACATCTTTATAAGAAAAAAATAGCATAGCAGTGCAAGCAGATAAAATGTTAAATGACTTTAAAAAAATTGAGGACAATTGAAAGAAGGAACTCATCATGAACAACAGATTTTACCTAATTTCATCTTGCTTAGATATGAACCCACTGATATAATGTCATGTAAAATGACAAGTGTTTGAATAATCTTCTGCGTAGGATAAGCCTGTAAAGCCTATTGTACAAATTTGCATTTAAATTGCATTTAACTGTGCAAGAAGATGACTTAGAAAAATTGTGCATGTCAATTTCGCTTTGCAGGGCTTGTGTGGAGAAAATTACTTTTGCAAATTAAACAGTGACCTGGCCTCATTCAGGCATTCAATAAGTCTGCAGTGAACTTAATTGGGACATTTAAATTCCTATAATGGAATGATTTGATCAGCCATTTGCAGTTTGTGAAATGCATGGAGTTTTTGTAATTTTTAGCAGACATGTGGGGAAATTCTCATGAGATAAAACATGAAACATTTAAAAAACAAAAATGAGTCAAAGGATAAAATGGTATTTGATAAATATAACTTGATAACATATTAGAACAGAGAAGAGTGGAATTTATGGAGAAGAATAGTAAAGAATAGAATCAAATAGAATTGAGTAGAGTAGAATAAAATAGCAAAGAAAAGAATAGAATAGAATATAATAGAAAAGAAGAGCATAGAATAGGAGAGAAGAGAAGAGAAAAGAAGAGCAAACAAAAGAAGAGAAGAGAAGTGAAGAGAAGAGAACAACAACGTAGATTAGAATTATAATAGATTATTAATTAGCACTCCAATTACACATGCACTACTCAGTTAAATGAGGTCATTCAATTGACCTCTTTGGTTCAATATCTGATATTTATTTAATTTAATCACTATCTGGTACTACTACTAGCATGGGGTATCATAATTGTTTCTAATTAATCTAACCCTGATTAATGCTTATTAGCCAGAAGAGTGTTAAACTTAATGGCAAGAGTTCATACCCTTCTGGCTTGTAGCAAATGATCTATCACAATGCGCTATAAAACAAGAAAATTGTGCATGTACATGTAAATGGTAAACTAGTTTATTCTCCTGATTCAAAGACAAGATGTGTTACCAGGGTACTTTGATTAATTACTCTCACATTATGTCACCCCTTTCCTAATGGAAATAACACCACACTATACTATCTGGTATATATTATGCATGATGTGTGTCATGTTAAAGGGGCATGACTGTCCTCCATGCCATCATGCACATGAAGTTTTCTCTGGTATTGCTTTCTGACTTTGCTTTCTGACTTCTTTCGTGTAAACTCTCTCTCTCTCTTTCTCTCACTCTCCGTATGTATTTCTGTCTTTCTTGCTCTACCCCTCCCCTATTTCTCCCCTCTTTCTGTCTTCATGTCTTTCACCTGTCTCTTTCTGTCTGTTTTTCAGCATTTAATCATCATCTCTCTCTCTCTCTCTCTCTCTCTCTCTCTCTCTCTCTCTCTCAGTATGTATCTCTATCATTCTTGCTCTGCCCCTCCACTATTTCTACCTTCTCTTTCTGTCTGTATTTAAACATTTTATCATCATATCTCTCTCTCTTTCTCTGGATCTTAATTACTAGATTATCTTATTTCCTATTCTTTTTTCACATTTCTCTTTCTTTTCTCAATCTCACTGCTACTTGCTACTGTCCATTTCTTGTTGTCTCTTGACGTTCTTTCCAAGTTTCTCTCCTCGCAGTTTATTTCTCTTACTCTCTCCCACTGTCTCAGTCTCATTTCCATCTTTGTTTCACATCACATCTCTATCACTCTTTTTCTCTCCCCATATGTTTCATGAATACATCTTCATGTGTCGTACAGTAAGATGGAATGACATTCAATCCGATTGCGATTCTGAGTCCTCATTAGTACATTCTATGTGAGTTGCACCTGATGGATATATCAGGGAAAAAATGAGACACACACATTTCAAGAGAAAGAGTGAGATTCAGGGTAGTTATGAATAAGGAAAGTAGTCTCTCTATCTGTTCCTCACTCTTTCTCTATACAGTTTTTCATGAAGATGCCTAATTAGTATGCTGTGCAGAAAGATAAGTATAGCATTTGGTTGGGAGATTAAAGTCAGAGATTCATGTCGCACATGATTTTGCAGGACATAGCCATCATTAAATATTGAGAAGATTAATTAGTTTGCTTGCTGAGAGCCAGAATAGTGTATGAGTTGATGTTCTTTTGTCTAAATGGCTAAAAGACTGTAGTGTAAAATTTATATAAACATGAGATTAAAAAATAAAAATAAAAACAATGAATTTTGTGCAGACCATATAAAGGTAAAGTTGTAGAAAGGGAATTTCAAATTAGAGACAAAAGGAGACATTAGAAATGGAGGCCCAGAGCCCAAAATAACCTAAAATCTCATTTATACATGAGATGATAAACTGCTTTAAAACAAAAAAAACATTGGGAAAAACCAGAGACTCGGTCAAGTGTACCTGCTCCACATTTCTATAGTCCATTGCATATAGATTAGTCAGTATAAACTGGAAACATTTTGTGTGGGCAGTTGTGCTTTAAATTTACCATGTAGCTCCTCCCTCAAAACAAAAGGTGAAAACAACAACAGGCCTCTAGATAAGACGTAATTCCAAGCAGCAATAACAGCAATGAGTGCTAAGAAGCAGGAGGCTAGCAGTAATTCAATTCCTCGACCAAGATCTTTCCTGCTGATATATACACCCTCCTTCAACCAATGAGGTCAACTCAGCCAATATCCGTAGCAAATCCTGACAGCATTTCAAAAAGAAAGGAGTCAATATGTTGTCACCTGCTTTCTCGTCCACCCAGCGGTCAAGACTGGTCCCATACTTACGAAGCGTGGGAGCTAGGTCACTTTAGCGTCACATGGTGGAAAAACCTGCTTTCATATGAATTTGGATAATGTAATCTAAAGTAGATCATGGTGTATGTATAGTACGTGTTGTGCACAGGCCTTAAATTTCGTCATTTTTAGGGCAAGGCCAGTTTGGCCTTGAGTACCTCATATTTTTAAGGGCACCAAGGCCAAAATATTTTTACAAAAAGGGCATCGAGGCCAAAATATTTTACAAAAAGGGCATCGAGTATGAGGCCAAAAAAATTGATTCTATTTTTGTTAGATGTCATGTGTATTTTATGAAACTTGTGCGGGATCAATTTCCCATGACTTTTAGCACCAGCTTCTTCACAGAATGTATAGAGGTCTACGGTACATACAAACAAGGCGGCGGCCCGCAAGCCTTAGATTTAGCAGCCAGGAGCAAGGGGCAATTTTTTTTTTAATTTGCCCTTTGCCACGGGAATTTACCAGAGCAAGGGGCAATTTTCCAAAAACAGATAGGCCCCTTATCTAATCATAAGTTCAAAGAGAGTCTACAAATGTTAATTTCATAATGTGAATAGATCGAACGATCAATTTAATAACTTTTTAATCTTAACAATATGAACAGGAAAGATTGATTAAGAACATCAAACTTGCACATTAAACAGTATTTTAAAGTAACTAAAAATATTGATGAGCAAATGAATAAATAAATTGTCAATTTCACAAACATCGAAAGTCAGAAGGACTTGGCAAGTTTACCGGGCCGGGTATCCCAAATCAAAATCGCACCTCACACACAAACCTTCCGCCACTCTCTCGGTAGTAGGAGCAAATTTGAAGAAATTATCTTTTTAAATGTTGTATAGAAAGGTCTAGATAGGCCTAACTAATGAAATAAGATGTAAAAATGTCCTTATAGACATTCGACAGCTGAAAGTGACACGCTCAGCTCAGTTGCGTACCGTGCATTCACGAAACCAAAATCGTTCCTCGCACACACACTCTCGCCACTTTTGGTGGGAAGCTGTCGGGCTGGAAGTTTGCCAGCGAAACCGATGCACCCTCGGAGATTCGCAGCGCGTAATTTTACCGGGACTCGAAACGTTCGTCTTGGGAAGCTGGCGGGGTAGCTTTTTGAAGCGAGGTCGGCTGGTGGCAAAATGAGAGTAACTACGATCGAGAACATCGTAGGTGTTC